TAGCACAGCTATAGGCTTGGATTTTTTAAAGAATATTTTTCCAAGGACTAGCACAGCTATAGGCGTGGATTTTTTAAAGAATATTTTTCCAAGGACTAGCACAGCTATAGGCGTGGATTTTTTAAAGAATATTTTTCCAAGGACTAGCACAGCTATAGGCGTGGATTTTTTAAAGAATATTTTTCCAAGGACTAGCACAGCTATAGGCGTGGATTTTTTAAAGAATATTTTTCCAAGGACTAGCACAGCTATAGGCGTGGATTTTTTAAAGAAGATTTTTCCAAGGACTAGCACAGCTATAGGCGTGGATTTTTTAAAGAAGATTTTTCCAAGGACTAGCACAGCTATAGGCGTGGATTTTTTAAAGAAGATTTTTCCAAGGACTAGCACAGCTATAGGCGTGGATTTTTTAAAGAAGATTTTTCCAAGGACTAGCACAGCTATAGGCGTGGATTTTTTAAAGAAGATTTTTCCAAGGACTGGCACAGCTATAGGCGTGGATTTTTTAAAGAATATTTTTCCAAGGACTAGCACAGCTATAGGCGTGGATTTTTTAAAGAATATTTTTCCAAGGACTAGCACAGCTATAGGCGTGGATTTTTAAAAGAATATTTTTCCAAGGACCATGAGAGATATAGGCGTGGATTTTTAATAGAATATTTTTCCAAATACTACCACAGCTATAGGTGTGGATTTTTTAAAGAATATTTTTCCAAGGACTAGCACAGCTATAGGCGTGGATTTTTTAAAGAATATTTTTCCAAGGACTAGCACAGCTATAGGCGTGGATTTTTTAAAGAATATTTTTCCAAGGACTAGCACAGCTATAGGCGTGGATTTTTTAAAGAATATTTTTCCAAGGACTAGCACAGCTATAGGCGTGGATTTTTTAAAGAATATTTTTCCAAGGACTAGCACAGCTATAGGCGTGGATTTTTTAAAGAATATTTTTTCAAGGACTAGCACAGCTATAGGCGTGGATTTTTTAAAGAATATTTTTCCAAGGACTAGCACAGCTATAGGCGTGGATTTTTTAAAGAAAAATTTTTTTCCAAGGACTAGCACAGCTATAGGCGTGGATTTTTTAAAGAATATTTTTCCAAGGACTAGCACAGCTATAGGCGTGGATTTTTTAAAGAATATTTTTCCAAGGACTAGCACAGCTATAGGCGTGGATTTTTTAAAGAATATTTTTCCAAGGACTAGCACAGCTATAGGCGTGGATTTTTTAAAGAATATTTTTCCAAGGACTAGCACAGCTATAGGCGTGGATTTTTTAAAGAATATTTTTCCAAGGACTAGCACAGCTATAGGCGTGGATTTTTTAAAGAATATTTTTCCAAGGACTAGCACAGCTATATGCGTGGATTTTTTAAAGCACAGCACAGCTGTGTTATTTTGCTAATTGGATGTGCGATGTGAAGGATGTGCGAAAACACCCAATATGAATGATGATGATGGTATACCTTATTGTATTTTCGCGTTGAAATTGTTGTACGGCAATTGTTTATTGAGTTCAAAAATTGATTATTTGTTATGACTGAATTTTAATTTTGTTATGACTGAAAATTAATTAAGTATATTTTTACAAAAAGTGTGGATTTTTAAATAGCATTTTCCTAGGTCTTTACAGGAAAAATTGCAAAACTTGTGCGTCGTTCCTTTTTATCAAAAACTCTATCAAATAAAAAATTACCTGCAAACCAATAATAGAAATATAAATAAAGAAACTTCCTTATCTATTCAATAAGTTGGTCATAAATAGCGGACCCCCATTGAAAGTTTTATGGTTTTTAACGAATCTCAGGAGGGGGTAATAAAATACAACCTAAGCGTGTGCCCAAAAAATATAAAACACTTATTCATATCGAAGTACTAATCAAAATGCAGATATATTTGCCCATTGAAAATTAAAACCCCCAAAAATGGACTAGACCAATAAAAGACATAACCATGACAAATTTAGACTTCAGTTGAAGTGTTGAAGACATGAGAATAGCATTAATAACAGGTGGTATACTATTTTTGGCATTATGTGCCTCAAATGTAGAGGCCGGTAAAAGACCAATTTCGGATTGTGTAAGTTTGTATATTCCCAATGGAAGCTAATAATTTCAATGTTCATTTTATAACTTCGTAGGCTGAACGCATTATCGACGATGGCTATCCAGTGGAGACCCACCAGGTGACCACAGATGATGGCTACATTTTGACCGTACATCGTATACCCTTTTCACCCAAATTGAACAATGCTGCAGTCCAAAAACCAGTAGTCTTTCTAATGCACGGCATGTTGAGTTCCTCTGTCGATTGGATTTTGATGGGCCCCGGCAAAGCTTTGGGATATATTCTCTCTGATGCTGGTTATGATGTATGGATGGGTAATGCCCGTGGCAACACCTATTCGAAGAAACACAAGACTTGGCCCACTTATTGGCAAATCTTTTGGAATTTTAGTTGGCATGAAATTGGTCTCTACGATGTACCCAACATGATCGATTACATTTTGAGAAATACAGGGCAGCAAAAGTTACAATATGTGGGTCATTCTCAAGGTACAACGGTGTATTTAGTTATGATGTCCGAAAAACCAAAATATAATGATAAAATTAAATCGGCTCATCTACTGGGTCCCGCCGCCTATATGGGCAACATGAAAAGTCCACTGACCAGGGCATTTGCTCCCATTTTGGGTCAACCAAATGCCATGGTTGAGGTTGTAGGTTCCATGGAATTTATGCCTAGCAATAAATTCAAACAGGATTTGGGAATTGAAATGTGTCAGGCCACTTCGCCATATGCTGAAATGTGTGCCAATGAAATATTCCTAATTGGTGGCTATGATTCCGAACAGTTGGATTATGTAAGTATTTTATTTTTTATTCAGAATTTAATAACCAATATTATGTCATATTTTATAGGAACTTCTGCCACACATCAAGGCCACCTCTCCAGCTGGTGCTTCGGTCAATCAGAATTTACATTTCTGTCAATTACACAACTCTAAGAAATTCCGTAAATTTGACTATAGCATTATACGTAATCCTTGGGAGTATAATGGAGCTCTCTATCCACCCGATTATAAATTATCGAATGCCAAAGCTCCGGTAATGTTGTATTATGGTTCTAACGACTGGATGTGCGATGTGAAGGATGTCCAAAAGCTACGCGATAAATTGCCGAATATGAAATTGGATTATTTGGTGCCATTCCCTAAATGGGCCCACTTAGATTTTATTTGGGGCACCGAAGCCAAGAAATATGTATACGATAAAGTCTTGGAACAAATGCAATTGTATGAAAGTTAATCAAAAGTGAAAGGGGTTTTTCGTAAATAAACTGCAAATGAATTATGGTAATTTTTTACATAAAATGGTTAGAGCTAATTGGGAAATATGGTCTAAAGGATCAGAGATTTAATTCTAGCTCTATGAGAAAAATTATAATTAGGATTTGAGGAGAATATCCCTAAGAGGGCTAATGGCGATCCGTGTCAAGATCCGAAATAGTAGTCTTCCCGTCTTAGAACAAATGTGATTGTATGAAAGTTAAGGAAACAAAATTAAAAGGATTTTGGAACTAAATACACTTCAATCAGATTACAAATATGAAATAAATATTCCAGCGGATATTAATGCTTTTAGAATTTTTTTATTATAAAATACCAACTAAAGCAACTATGGACCAACCAGTGAAGAGATCCGTTCTCCACAAAAACGCAAGAATATTTTCCATTTTAAATTGTTATACAACAATCGTTTATTGAGTTCAAAAATTGATTGTTTTTTATAACTGGAATTTTAATTGTTGGCTCCAAAAATCAATCTGTTAATAAAAAATCATTTAAATTATTATTTTTAAAGGTGTTCATGGTTGTATTATTATTTGTATGTATTCATAGTTATTATAAATTAATTAGGATTATAATCAATCATCTCGTTTTGCTGTCTAAGGATGCAGGACAACCATTCACGGCAAAACATAAGTCCATAAGAATTTGCAAAGATTTACTGAATGACCATCCATCCAAAACTATTTGGAGTTTACTTAGTTTTGGATGAATATTTTTTTTAATAAAAACTAATTTCTTTTAATAAAAAAATCATGTTTTTTATACTTGGTACGCATATAAAATATATATTTCATTTGTTTGTATTATTGTAATCATTAATATGTTATTAAACGACTTTTTCTTCGAGAAAAAATAACGAAAAGCGCGCACAATTAGGGTGAGTATTATATACTAATTTTGAGTATGTCAAAAAATAATAATAAGATCAAAAAGTAAGGCAAACAGACTTAATGATATAAATGTGATTTGAAATCAATATCGTTTATTTATTACAATTAAAAATCTGAAGTATAAATAAAAAACTTTCGCATTTATGTCCATAAAATCTATAACATTTATATAGATTCTATTACAATATTGGTACATTGTTTCAAAAATCGATTAAGCTATCACATACCCTACATGTGATTGAAATCGTAAAACATTTATCGTGAAAACATTTTCAACAGAATCGTAAATAAACATAAATGTAGACCTCGGAGTCTCAAATTGTTCAAATGCAAAGTCACCATAAATTTAGACTGTTTTTTCTTACACCACGCACGATCGCTTTTTTTAAATTCCCTGTATAAAAAATTACTTTTAATTAATTAAATTATTTAAATACATTACTTGATTATCATTTCATTTTATTACGATGCCGAAGTTGCGAATTCATATTTGCCACTTTCCAAAATATTACTAATAGAGTTGATTATCTTTATGTTTAATTTGCAGAAGATAGCTCATCTCTACGAACCTTATTAAATAAGGTATGTAGTGGTCATGTGTGAACATTGTGGGCATTCAAAACCCCGAAACTCGACCAAATCACTTGGAATCCGTTGCTATAAAGCGTAGGGTCTTATCCAAAGAAAGAAAGGGTCTTATCAAAATTAAACATAAGTCACAGAATACAACGTATGTTAAAAATTTCTCGGTAATGTTAACACGCGTATCAAAAATAAATACAAAATATATTCTTTTCGATAGCGAGATAACTGAAATGAATCATGTTTCTCAAATATTAATGCAATGTTGGAATAATATAATATTTTATTATATGTATTTATAAATGAATATAAAATCAATTATTTCCTCATTAATCCCCTCTAAGAAAATTTTAAATTATGCTGTGGTGTAGAATTTAATATAAACAAAAAAATGTCATGTTTGTTTTTTTTCTTATCAAAATTCCAAAAATTTTCATAATTTTTTTATTTATTATAAATATATATTTGTATTGTTGTATGTATAAGAAAACAAATTTAAATTAAAAAATATATGGTTTAGAAAAGAGAAGAAGAAAACATATAATTGTGTTCGCGCAGCAATGCTAAAGCTTTAATGGCACAAATTATTAAATTAAATTTCTTTAAGATTTTATTCTTTTTTTGTAAAAAAAAGGAGGATCACCTTTGTGTGTGTGTGGTATGTATGTATATAAAACAATGATACAAAATGAATTTCTATATATGATAATACAAAATGTTATATATGAAAGGAGTGTATAGTTGTTGTTGTGTGTGTGTGTGTGTTTTTAATGATTTGAAAATGTGTGTATGTGAGAAAAAGCAAATATAGTAAAGAATCAAAAGTCATTATTTATTTTAAATAAAATTTTTTGTAATATATTTTAGATGTATTATAGTTTTTTTTATTGTTTTAATATTTTAATCGCATTATTTATCAATAAAATATAATGTATATATAATTTTTTTGTTCCATTTTTTGAGTTTTTTTATTTTCTTTTCAATTAATAAATTGTAATTGTTTTCACATTTTATTTGCAATTTGTTGTTGTTGTTTTTTATGTTATGTATTTTTTCTCTAAACAGTTTTAAGTAGATTTTTTACTTTTGTTTCAAAACAAAAACAAAAAATAGAAAATAATAATACATTATCTTAATTAAGGTGACGATTAAAAAGTAGTTATGAATGAGAATTGATGCATAAATGGAGGACGCAGTGCAGGGAACATGATGATATGATGATGAATGGATGGTGATGAATGAATGAAAGTGTGGTTTTGGCTGCTCGCATAGTTGGATGAGGTGAGATGATTTCTACTGCTGCTAATTGTGTGGTTGCTTTGAAGAAAAGGGCCATGAAGAATGTATGGATGGATGGTGATTTGCTAATAGATTGTATTTGGGGGAAAACAGTGATGCTGGGGAATTAACTATATTTGCCTTCATTTATCTGCGCGCCTCGCTTTCGCCATTTTAAAGAAGTACAAACTATTTTTGTTTAGCTTTTTTCGTTTTTTTCATATTGTTGTTGTTTTTATTTAATATTTTTCTTTGTTGCTTAAATATAAATAAATGTTCAATTATAATTGTTTTATTAATAACGGGCTTTGTTTTCCATTTTTTGTTTTGTATAATTCACATATTGAGCCAGCCAGCTAAAAACAATTAATTTGTTTGCCTTTATTTGTTGTTGCTTCTTTATTAGCTTTAGAATTTTGTCCCATAATATTTGAATTTGAATCTCTTCTTAGGGTTTTTATTTATTTTTTAACGTTCATTTGTTTTTATTCTTCTTTCAGCCTTTGTTGGATACTCGTCGTAAGGGATCGTGTAGGGGAAGAGGTTGGTGGTGTTTGGGAGGGAATTGTGGTTGGTATACATTGTGTATGATTGTATCTCATCAAACGACGACATGCCTAACATTCCTCTTTGGAGTTATGTGAAAAACTGATTGGCTTTCTGGCAAAAGTTTTCATTAAGGAAGTTAAGGCATATTGTTGTTGTTATATATTATCTGGTGAGTGTGTGTGTATGTGTATTTTCGTAAATGGTATTTGTTTTTATTTAGAAAAATCAAAAATAACTGCTTGGCTTAAAGTTTAACGATTTGTTTGTTTTCTTGTGTAGTTTTTTTAAAATTACTCGCATTTTTTTGTATAATTTAATTTTTGTTTTTTTTTCTATATTTTTTTATTAAGTTTTCTGTTTTTTTCATTTATTTTGTTTGTTTGTTGGTTGTTACTTTCTAAATTACAGCTTTGTTGTAACTAATTGTATATAAATTATATTGGTTTTTAATTTTGTTTGCTGTTGTTGTTGTTTTCCTTTTCATCATTCACTGTTCTTTTGCATTCTTCATCTTCTTCTTCGCAACTTCTTCGACGGGCTTCCTCCTCTTATTACCGTTTTCCTTCTTCCATTCTTCGTCCATCAGTGTTCGCGTTTTTTCCTCTGCAATTGGTTGTTCGTCGTATTCTTGATGATAATGCTTTACTAGTTGTTGTTTTTGTTGCATTTCTGCATTTGTTGTTGTTGTATTATTATTTTTATTTTTCTTCTTTATTATCATTAGTATTTTATATAGTAATAAATGTAAATGTTCTTGTTGTTGTAATGTTTGGGTTTTCTTGTTTGTTTTTTACTTGTTGTTGTAGGTAATTTCTCTTAAAGGAAATAATCTGGTGTTCTTCGTGTAACATGGGGTTCTCCACGTCTTGGTGCTGGGTCGAACTGTAGGCTGTAGAAATGGAAAAATGATAAATAATTAATTTTTTTATTTATTTCATATTGCCCAGTCTTTCGACCTTAAGGTTGTAAGCTACATTTCACAATAAAATATAAATTATATCATATAAAGCGGCTTAAATGCAAAAGGGAGGGAATTGAACTACTAAAGAATATTATACCGATTAAATTACCAAAAAAAGTTTTTGATTATTATTATAGGTTATGATTAAAAAATTTGATTAATTGGATTATGACTACTCCTTATTCGCAAAAAAATATTTCATTTTTATATGAAAATGTCGTCAACGATAGGTTGAATAGAAAGAGGTGTTCAATAGAAAAATATATTCTAATATCATTTTTCATACCCTTCACCACACTATAGTACATGTTTGTAAAAGGCATAAGGAAACGAGATAGACCCATGGTTCCTTTGGCATAGAATCACTTTCTGTGTCGATTCATGCATGTCCGTCTGTTGATGTTAAATTGTAAACAAAGTACAGGTCCCAGGACGGGTCAAGAACGAACACTATTCAAATTGGGAAAAATCGGTTCAGACTTAGATATAGCTTCCATATTTATTTTGGTCCGATTTAAAGTAAATGGTGCACTTTTCAAAATCAAAAATTCTTAGAAAGACTTGCATTCTTCTTTTTTTTCCTCTTTACTTTCGGAAGAGAGTAAAGTCTTCATGTAGGGTTTTCTAATTTAAGATCTTGATTTTTCTTTTCTTTATCTTTAAGTCTACTATTAAAATAGCTTTTAGATGCAATTAGAAAACCTCTCCACCTTACATTAATGACCTTCCAGTCTTTGCTAAGAATGCCTTTTAAAAAGTATATTAAAATAAATTGCCAATCTGCTATTACCGAATGTTCAAGGTTTTTATTAGAAGTCATCCATGTCTTCTACTAATAAAGCCTTTCAGGTTTTTCCTTTTTTCTTCCTTCCTTCAATTCTTATTCAATTAGATGGGCTTTGTGTATATGATGATGATCTTCCATTCTTTTATTGAAAGACCTTCATGGCTTGGTCTCCCCCAAGAGACCTACTTAAATCCTATACGAATTTCATCTATTGTCTATGAGAACATTTATAATATTATCTGATTGTTATTTATTAATTCTGCAATTATTTATTAGCTGACCAACAATTTTTCTATATGAAGACCATCCCATTTTATTTAAGGCATGCAGTACAAAGATATATAAGAAATCTCAAAGCCAAAGTGGTATATAGGGAGAATTTTAACTATACAATCTTTCGTTAGAAGTCTTCCCAGTCTTCTAATTGATGATCTTCGACTATTTTATTGGAAGACTTCAAGTTTATAATGCCTATAGGTCTGTAAGGAAACACGGTCATACTCTCATACTCTTTTATAAAGTTCTTACTATATTTTATCGCCTACTATTCTTCTATAAATTTAAACATAGGGTTTATCAAATCCATTTTTATTTTTTTGCAATTTTCCGATATAAACACCAAAAGTATGCAAACCTTGCTTATCAAGGTGAAATATAAAAATGACAATATATATAGGACGAACGTAGTAGTAGTGGTGGTAGTTTATTGTCTGGACTTTTGAGATAAAAAAGTCAATCTAACATAGACTTCTAAACACACACGTAAATTATTCAGTCAAATACTTCAAATATAAACACAACGCGATAAATAGTAAATAATTCTCAAGATTAGATAATAGAGTGCAGTAAAAAAATACACGAAGAGCGAGAGAAGCGGAGACAAGGTGAAAGGCAATAACAAACAAATCAAGTGCATTTAAATAAAATAAAAAAATAAATAATAAACTGGTGCAAAGCAAAAATAATAGTATGGTAGAGATAATAAAAATATCAATATAAAACATTTGCTAAATAGATAAACAAATAATTTATACAAACACACACACACACCCATCGTGTGGGTATGTGTATGAGTGGTGGTTAATACTTACAATGAAAATTTAAGTGAATCGTCTAATTCCATAAGGGCCGCTTGATTGCCACAACGATAACAATAATTTGGCGCTGAGAAAATTGTGACAACGTTGCGGTCGTGACACCAATTATAACCTTCCATGACCAATTGATGGGCACGTGATACCAATGTTAGACCATTTGTGCTGTTAAATGTTTCCGAAATGTCCTGCAAAAAACATCAGAAGTTTACTAACTGCAATTTATTAAAAATATTGTATTGTTTACTAACTTGACCAAAGGTGTAACCAGCACCACGTGGTGAAATACCCCAGCCACCTCTATCATCGGGATCAGACCATAACAAATCGCACATGGGTCCCTCATGCGGCACCTCTTGCAGGCGATCCAGCGCGCGGATGTGATCCAAACTATCAATCGATGGACTGAGACCACCATGTAAACAAAAGATTTGACCATCGACCAATGCGGTCAGTGGCAAATAATCAAACAGATCGGTAAAATATTTCCAAACATTGGCATTGCCATATTTGCGCAGACATTCATCGTAAAAGCCATAAACTTGAGTGATTTGTCGGGATTCGTGATTGCCACGCAAAATTGTAATTCTTTCGCGATAGCGTACCTTGAGTGCGACCAATAGTGTAACAGTTTCGACCGAATAATAGCCACGATCGACATAATCACCCATAAATAAATAATTTGTATCAGGCGATTTGCCACCTATCCGGAAGAGTTCCATAAGATCGTGAAATTGACCGTGTACATCGCCGCATACTGTTACAGGACATTTGACTTCTTGGACATTTGATTCCTTGGATAGAATTTCCTTGGCCTGCAAAAAATTAAGAATAATAATTAAATAAGGATTTTTTTGGTGATAAAAAAATGAAAAACAAAAATCATAAATTTGATTTAATTTTTTTGGGGAGAGATAGTAAAAGGATCTTAATCACAGATGTTGTATATAGTTTTGAATATAAGTGCAAATGCAGTTAGTAGAAAACTTTTTGTAAAAACGCTAAGGTATTCCACCTTTGTTTGACCTATATTAAAAAGGTATAGGAGAATAAAGTATGTGGTTTGATTTCCTACTAAGAAGAAAAAATCGGATAAAGGTTATTTTTCATTTTTCGAAGTATAGTTTATCGGGAAAAATATCATAACTTTGTTTACCCTACTAAAGTGGACTTTAGTACTATGGAAAATTCTAACTGTATCCCGTTTGTTCTCAGAAAAAAATACAAAAGGAAATATCAGTTATGTGGGAATATGGCAGCTGGCAGAAATGATGATAAACAATGCCATTATGGTGTCACTTTTTATCAACACATTTGTTTTTTTATTCTGGAAAAATGTGAATATAAAAGGAAATAATGATAATATAATGAGAATCAAAAAAAATTTATAGTGGAAAAAATTTAAAAGTTCCTGTTGATTATTTGTTGTATTAAAATGATCTCGAGAAACATAACAAAAATATGTGTAAAATTTCTGAATGGGTATGAAACCTGTTTCAAAATACCCAGCAGTAGTGTGGACATGTTGAAATCTTAAAAAAATTTATAGATATTTTTAAATGAGTGGATAAAAATTTAAAAGTTCCTGTTGATTATTTGTTGTATTAAAATGATCTCGAGGCAAACATAACAAAAATAGAATGAAAACATAGAGTTTAAAAGTCAACAAAAATCATATAATTGGAAAGAACTTCCGGAGACGATAGAATATTATGGAGAATATTTTATTAACACTTATAAAGAGATGGTAGAATCTGCCAATAAAATTGTTTATGCAACTGCGAACAAATTGATATTATGCGGAAATATAATACGGATCAGTGCGGCCAGTCAAGTACTAGTTGTAAGTTCTCAAGGACGTCCTTTCTAAACCCACACCTCAATAATAAATTCTGAGATTTGTAGTTAAGACACAATGGGGACTTAAATAAATTACAACCAAATGATGTAGAATGTATGCAGGAGACGAAGATTTATCAGAAGGGATGATCCATTTACCTAGTAGTATTGAAAAGGACAACTTCCGGATTTGGCAACCCACATTTTTACGGTCTGGGCGAAGTCCAATTCAGATTTATCGAAATGTGTACATTGTTTCTCAAAATAGGTTAGGAAAAAAAAAAATCAATATATTTTTGTTATCATAAAACAAACTTTTTATGGGTTTGAGTTTATTTTGCTGTTTATTTTAATTTTAATATTTCACAATAAATTTAAATTCAGTTTGATATACAAAAATTGTTGACAATAATAATAATTTATATGTAAGGTATATAACTTATTCATTGAAAATCCAAATAGGCAGCAAAACACGCCTCGAACTCAAAATAAAAAGTTTGTTTTATTATACAAATCATCAAAAAGGTCGAAGAAATAACATCGAATAATAACAATATCTTCGACAATACTGGATTTAACTAAATTTCTAATTTTTTTGTTTTCCCCCAAGAGGAAAAAAAACGTTCTCGTTCTCTCGTTGTCTTTTGGAAAATAGTTGTTTTTTTTTTCCTTCTTCAATTCTATGTGCCCTCGGCAACAAAATCAATTGTGCTCTTCTTTCCAATACAATATTCAATTGATGCCAATATATTTTGTAACAACGGCCAATTGTCAGCCACCCAGTCAGCCAACAGAGTGACGAAGCAAACCAAATCACTGAGTTTTCAATATATGATGAGACATCTTGATGTTATTTTTAACAATGTCACACAACAACCAATTAACTCAATGACCTAAAACCATTTAAATGTAAATAAATGTACCTTCGTGACCCTTTTTCTTTTCGCTGTGTGTTGCTGTGCTCGTTATATTTTTATCAGTTCGAAAAAAATACCATTTGCGGCATAAATTATTGGCAAGGCCTTAATAAAGGCCTCTCGGACTAAAACTAAAGCAACTGAAAATGCAAACTGAATAAATGACCTGTAACTTGTTTGAAAATAAAAGTTGTAATGAAAGTTTTTGCAGAAATAAATAGGAAATAAAAAATATTCTATGACCCAATTTTTGTCTGGTCAAAACTAAAGCATTTTTTTGATGCTTTCTTATAAATAAGCAAATTTTTGTAGTATTCGACAGCATAACCATTATTTGTCATTACAGCAGCACACCTACGAGACATTGAATCAAAAAAATGCTCAATTTGAACCTTGGATATACTATTCCTTGCACCCTGAAACTGTTTGTGAACTACTCCAAAGATTTTTCTATAGGGTAAAGATGTGATGATTGTGTGTGCCATTATAAAACCCTGATTTATGACTCCCCCAACCAATCTTTGACATGTTTTGGTGTATGTTTGGAGAAAAACAACAAAATTATTGACCCCTACAATTACCCTTGCAATAATGTGGCATGAGCCTTTCACAGTAATTTTTTTCATTTCGAAGTCTTTTAATTTTTAACTTGAATTCATCTGAAAGCATACTATTTCTCTACTGAGTCGGATTCCAATTGATATGAGATTTTTCGAAAGCCAATCTGGCTTTCCGATTCCTTTCAGAAATAAAAGAATTTTCTTCATAGATTCCGGGCATCTAGGCCTGCAACCATAGCTCGTCCACGCTCTGTTCGAGAGGCTATATCCAACGATAATCGTCTCAATGCCTCTCTTAAATGAGTATTTTTTACTGTTATGACAATTTGTTGATCAGTACGAACTGATGCCCTTTTGCAGCCTTCCTCCTTGCTGAACTCTCACTACTGATATAGTTGCATAAAATCCAATTATAATACATGAATTCACTGATTTATTTATGAAATATTTCTCCGAAATCATTTTCTATGATAAACAATTTTCATACTCACGATTTATAAAAAGTACACACGATTTATAATTCAATATCTTGACCCACCTCATCAATCAATTATAGCCCCACAAGGCCCTAATTATTGTAGATGCCTCATTGATTTGTCTTTTCCTTTTATCCTCCTACCAGACTATTCCAACAATTTATAACCTCTTAAAGAAGAAAGACAAATCAACATGGGGGGGCCACCATCATTAGATAATGCCAACAAACGTTGGCACCCTCTCGTTCGCTACTTGCTCGTTCAACGCCACTTTCAATGTTTTGCAATGTTTGTTTCAAATAAAGAAATAAAACAAAAAACAGAAATGAAATTATTTTTAGAATAGTTTGCAAATAAAAATAAATCTTCTTTACTACATGGCGGACAGCGGCGACCGGCACACCGATGACTGACTGCCTGAGTCGGCTGAAACCAAAAAAAGCCAAAAGGGACAACAAAATCACTCATGCTGTTCTCGAATAGTGTGTATAAATACGCAAATTTGGCGCTGCTAACCTCATCATCATCACCGTCGTCATCATCAGTGTTGGCAAATGGCTCAATGAAAAACTGTTGCTGAACGTGTGTATGTATATCTGTAGGTACACATTAACGTTAAGAGAAAGCGGCAATGCACCACCGCCACCAACCAATATAGACATCATAGAGAAACAAAAAATTCAAAAACTATACTATATTGACCGGCCCAGCATTGCAAACTAAAAAACACAACCCATCATGGTCGATGATGATATTCGCATTGTCATTTATTGCTGCTTAGTTGGAGGTAGTAGAAAAAATAAATAAATAAAAAATTACACTCGCACACTCAATAATAATACGACCATATCGATTGCGGTGGGTGGAGAGGAGGAGTGGAGGAGAAGGTGCTGGCGGTCTTCTTAGTAGAAACATTGAAATTAAATAATGGTGGCAAGCTCTTTACAATTTCTAATCAAACAATTTCCACGAGGTAAAAAGATGATGGTGGTGTAAACAACAAATACAGGCAGGCAGTTGACTGGCTATCAAGTCGATGACGACGAAGACGCCGCCAATGGCAATAATGAAAATGGCCGAGGCGACATTGTCGCAACAACGAAAAAGAAAGGCTTCCGCAAAAATTTGCCAAAAAAAAAATTATATGTGTCTATCGTTTATCTTCCTGTCCTGTCATTTGGTCATCGTTATAAAAAGGAAATAATTTAGGAAGAGCAATGTTGAACACGGCAGAGAGGAAATATCGCAACCAATTAAAAAAAGAAATGTGAAATGATAGCAAAAAAGAAATTACGCAGTTTCGATATACCAAAATTATGCAAATATATAAATATTTATATTCGAATTTATTCAAATAACCTAGAGACACATTTTTCTCCTGCTTTTTTTTAGTTTTGAAAATTCTAAATTTAGCAATCTTATAGCAAAAAAATTATTTTTTCATAGGAGGACTTTGCTTTCCCCTAGACGTCATTATCTTTATGATAGACACCGCATTGACAGTAATTGTACTTTGCACCAAAAATCCAATCCTTGGGATTACTGCAATCCGAGATTTCCGTGAACTGTTTTTTTTATATTGAATAGTTGAAGTTGTTAGTGTATATTATTTGTTACTTATTTTTTATTTATTTTTATTTTTGCTCTGCCTGTTATTGTCATAGGGAAATACATAACAACAACAGCAACTATTGGTGGCTTCCACATGACTATGAACTACTGTTGTCGTGGTGACAAGCAGGCAGCCAGTCATTCAGCAGAGTACAAAGTGTCAAGAGGTTATTATTTACTACACTGCTGACTGCTAAAGAGGAAATGTTGCTTCAATAGTAACAACAGCTGGTACTGGCGCATCGTTTCCCTCAAATAACTCATAGCTAATTTATGGAATATTACAGCAAAAAACAGAAACACCAAAATCTATCCATTGCATGTTCATAACCTATAAATTATGTAAAAATATTATTTATTTATATGTACATATATAAACATCAACAAAATGTGAAAAGTTCATCAACAGAAA